CCTTCTCCTTCTCCTTCTCCTTCTCCTTCTCCTTTCCCGTCCCTTTCCCCTTCCCGAGGGTCTGTCCCTCATACAGTCTCTGCGGGATTGTCGCTAGTGCGGGGGGAGCGCTTTGCACAGAGTCGCCTCCGAGATTATCGGGTCCAACCTGTGAGCAAACTCAGAATCGCAGAATCGAGCGGATCATCGGGTCCACCCTCCTGCTCCGCCACCCCACAGCACATGGGTAAGATAGTGTCCCCAGAGTTCTGGAATATGTCCAGGGAGGGACACTCGACACGCTCTCTGGACAAACTGTTCAGTGCTCGGTCACTGAACATCCCTTCCCGACCCTTTCCACCCCTTCCAGACCCTTTCCATCCCTTCCCGACCCTTTCCATCCCTTCCCGACCCTTTCCATCCCTTCCCGATCCTTTCCATCCCTTCCCGACCCTTTCCATCCCTTCCCGATCCTTTCCATCCCTTCCCGACCCTTTCCATCCCTTCCAGACCTTTTCCATCCCTTCCAGACCCTTTCCATCCCTTCCCGACCCTTTCCATCCCTTCCCGACCCTTTCCATCCCTTCCCGATCCTTTCCATTCTTTTCCCGTCCCAAGGGTCTGCCCCCATGCAGTAACCACAACCTGTGGGATTATTGCACTTGGAGGGGAACATTTCTCACAGAATCATGGAATCGTTGAGGTTCGAAAACACTTCCAAAACTATCAGCCTGTGGCTGATCCCCACCTGGTCAGCCAGACCAGCCCCCAAACATGCTTTTCCCTCTTTCTTCTGATTAGAAACTGAGTTTTTGGGCAGGAGGGTTGGAATTCCCTCCTTCCAATGATGGGCAGCAGTTTTGCTGGGGTTGGAGGACACTGCCAAAGCTGGTGGAAGCTCCTAGGAGTGATAATTACTTTCTATCCAGGAGAATGATCACATTCCTGGGATGCTTAGATTAGGTTTAGGATTTCAAAAGTCAGCAACTGTTTAATAAAAAGCTCATAAGCAGAGTGGAAACAAGGACAAGATTAAAGGAATTTCCTCCTCGCTTCCTGCTAGATCAGATCCCTTAGGCTTCTCTTCTGCCATATGAATCTTGTATTTCTTGTCAGACACTAACAGAGCCTCAAGAGGAGGAAGAAACCCAGATAAACATCTGGCTGCGTGTTAGGGAAGGAGATKGAGGTCTGGAAACACCTTCTCCTCACCCAAAAAAACATGAACATATTCCTCTTCTCACCAGCCTGGAAAAAGAAGAGAGATGATCCATTTCCTTGGGAAAACTGAGCAGTAAACAAACCAACAGGGATGAAAAAGACATGGGATTATCGATTTCCTTGGGAAAACTGAGTAGTAAACAAACCAACATGGATGACATGGACCAAGTGAGCCAAGCTCCATGTGTTTTAGGATCTGGTGTGACTCAGGRAAGGGGCTGGCACCTGCTGGCACCCAAGCTTGTGCCAGTTTAGGTCCTTGAAGCACCACCCCCATTCCAGGTGAGGCAGGCCAGGTCCAGCCAAGATCATCAGGAAAGTTCATCAGGTCTGAGATGAAGCTGAGAATCAATGACAGCTCAGGGTCCATCCATCAGGAGCTGGGACACAGTGCAGTGGCTGCCAGCAGGTCCCCAGGGATGGGACAGCTCTGAGGTGGAGCAGGGAAGTCAATCCTTGCATCAGGAGTGTCCAGGGCTGGCACAGGGGTGCTGCAGTGACAGGCTCTGATGGGGCCAGGGCTGAGCTTGGAGACACCCCAGGAAATTGTGTCATTAGCTCCAGAACTGAGCCTGGAAAAGATTGGGATGGATTTGCAGCAGTGCCCTCAGGGGCCTGACACTGCCCTGGAGCCACGGGAATACCGGGAATACCGGAGCAGTGCCAGTGGGAAGGTCAGGCCGTGCAGCTGGGATTGCACCAGTCCAGGCTTGCCTGCCCTGACCCTCTGCACTGACATTTCAGGTTCCTTCTGACTGATCTAACAGCGAGAAAACACCTCTTGTGTCTGTGTTCAGCCAGGTAAATCTGTTCCACAAATCCTCTGAAGAGAGGGAACGGCAGTGATGTTCCCCCAGACCATTCCGCTGGGTCCAGTTCCCCGCAGCTGCCTGAGCGTTGGATCCAGCAAAGGTGAGCAGGATTCTTCTCCAAACTCTCCACTGCTTTTGGCAGCAACTGCTGRGACACCTCTTCAGCTGTAACACAAAAGCGTTCCCTTCATCTCTCTGAAATAATCTCATCCATGAGATCCAGATTCCTCTGTGCTGGGCACACGGATAACCYGCTAAAGATGCCAAAAAAGTCCATGGCAGATGCAGAAACCAAATGCAGATTCTCCTAGTTTTCATTTAGCTTCGAAGTTTTAGCTACATGCAGTGTGAGAGGATAAATCATTTGTAATTAAAAAACAAACCGCTTATTTTTAGCTGCAAATCTACCAAAGTGCATGCAATTAGCAGATATAAATCACTTCCTGGCTCGCAGACTGTTCAGCACAGCACATAAATGAAAGTTAAAACATACGTTTGGGGAATACGTGGTACATCTGCTCTCAATCTGCAGCATTTGGAAATCAATACAAATATTCTCCCTGCTTTAACGTGCTRCAGTCTGTCATCCCACAGTGGAAGGGCTAAAAATATATTAAACAAAGGAACTGGAGTGGACACGGCCCTAAAGACCAAAATATGGATAGCACAGTGATCTGATGGCAAAAAGAATTCAAGGCAGGGATAAGCACTGACTTGGGAGGACAAATTAAAGTTTTTCCTCCATGGTCTCAGGATGCTTGGGGGATAAAGTGCACACATAAAGCTTCACAAGGTGACTCTGGGGACAAGAATCAACCATTTGATACATGTCCACATATTTTAAAACAACGACAGGCTTGTAGTCAATATCTTGGTGGAATTAGTTCCCGCAGGGAAAATGTATTATCCACAAAACTTTCTTATTCTTTTTCTTTTTTTTCAAGTGAAAAGATAGCAAAGGAGCTGTCTGGGAATGATTTGTAAGTACAATAAACCTCACAAGAGGATGATAAGCAAAGTATTGTAAGAGAATCRTGTCAGAAGTACAGCAAAATAAAAGAGAAATGTTACACATTTGTAGTTACTGACAATGTGTGTTCTTAAGTATCATGTCACATTAGAAAAGAATCCTTGTTTTCCTTTCCAGCTTTCACTAATATTCCTATTAATCTATACCAGATTTTTTGATTCCACCATTTGAGGCCACATCAATCATTCTTTGCCCATTTGAAATTCAACTGGAATTACACCGGCGTGTTCAGGCTCTCAGAGTGGAAGCTGGAAGTGAGGTTAGAACTCCCATGGATTCCTAGGATCTGTGCATCCATGGAAAGACCAGGTTAATCTGATTTCACCACGGATTTTTAAATCATAAGATGAAAAACAATTGTTGTTACTTTTTAAAGATGGAATATTTAGACATCACTTACGCTGAGTTTTTTAGAAAAGAATTCTGTCTAACTCAGGTAAAAACATTGTCCACTCGATMCCAGCTTTATTTTCTGGTGGAGTTTCAGGAGCAAGTGCAGCATAAATAAGGTGTTTCTTTAAAAGGGACAYGAGATATGAGAATAAACAGATTTATCCTGAAGGCAACAGGTCAGGCTGATGAGGAGCAACAGCTCTGTCTCCTCGGTGGAATATTTTCTTTGCTCTAAGGAGAAAGAGAGGATCAGTGAACCAGAGAAAGGTGGCAGGGAGCACTCTGGGGGTCAGGGGACAGGTGTAGCCCTGAGGAGTGACACAGGGAGCATCAGGAGCTGCAGGTCAGCTTCGTTCAGATCATTTCGCTCAGTCTGTGCTCTTGGAGTACTTTGAAAATTGGCAGAAAATGATGGAAAAGATGAAAGGAAAAGCCTTGAAATAGACCACAGTTCTTTCATGTGTGTATTACCCTGGAATTCTATACATATAAATAAATACATCTATATTTATACATCAGGAAGACTCTSTTCTTTACATCCCTGAATACACACCTCCTTACCTCATAGTGTCACCCTTCTGGGAAAGGGAGGGTGACACAACTGGACACAAACACCAGCAGCTCCTTAATAACCTATGCAAATATTGGCACGCTTCTTACACATTCATTTTGTTGCTCTTATGACTTTATTTTTTGAACTGGCACCCCAGCCTTTCATTACATTTGACATCCATTGTGCTGGGCACCTTGGAAGTGTTAATTTTAGGAGCATTTGTGGCAAAGTCATTGGGAGAAGTTTGTAACAGCGACGCTTCCAAACACTCACCCAGGCTGGGCCCCCAAAGTTCAGGTGATGARCTCTGTAGTTATCCTTAGGGAGGAAAGAGTTACAATTGTTTTATGTCATTAGCCCCAGAACTGAGCCTGGAAAAGAMGAGCATGGATTCACAGCTCAGTTTGGGCATGACCAGGCTGTCCTTTTGCAAAACATCTCAGRTAATTTCAGATGAAATGGCTCTGTAACTTCCAAGTTCCTCACGCAGAGTTTGTTTGTTTTTGCCAAAAGGAACCAACCAACCCAATCCTCAAAAAATCTGATCCAGAGAGAAGGTTATTAAGGCAATAGTTTGGAAAACTGAATCAATATCACACTCAAATGTCATAATCCATCACTTCACAGCACTTGCAGGGAGGCCCAGCCCCTCCTGCCAGGAAGGACCACGACATCATCAGGATGAACAAGGAGATTTCATCACCTTCCTCAGCATTCTYGTCTTTGGGGCCAGGCATGTGAGGCAGTAAAATCCTTCAATCATTCAAGGAAGGAGAACATCACCATTTTTGCAAAAGCAAAGCAGATTCCAAGGCTGGTGGTTTGACAGGTTAATAAGAAGGCCCC